AATATTTTTACATAATCTTATATCTTCGAGTAAATATATTTTGAATGCAATTGTATGCATTCAACTACAGAAAAAATCTATTGTTTGTCATCTTGATATAAAATTTATTGTTGGTAACTCTACTATAAAATGTATGGCTAGACATTTTTCTTTAAAATGTATAGTTTGAACATCTATAAATATGTATTGTTGGAATTTTTAACATAAAAATGTATTTCTAATATTTTTTACTATAAGACGTGGAGCAACAGCACTTAAGAGCCGGGTGTAGTTTACGTCATAGCCAGGACTCCCATGTCGAGGACATTAGTCCAAATGTAAGTAATGTAACTATGTTTACTATGTAAACTATCACTTTCATAAAATATTGGGACGATTATTTTCATGGTTTTTTGGACTTTCTAAGTGGTACCACTCGTAGGAATTCGCTTAGTGCTCTGCCTTTTTTTTAAGCTTATGGTAAAATCACGTAGAAAATATCGGTTCTCGTTCGATCACCGAAGTTAAGCAATGTCAGTACTTAAATGCGGGGAGGTGGCTCTTGTGAACACAAATTACTATAAGCAACCTTCTGCAATCCGAATTATGTTTGGCCTTAAACTACAAATAGTCGATAAGCCGAAAATAAAAAGTTTCGTGTAACGGTGGGTACAAAATTAGCCTTAGTAATCGTAACAGATAATGTTTTCATCAGTCAATTTATTTTCTATTAATTGTAAATACTAGATTTTTCTGGAAATGAGTAAACCCTCTAAGAGGAAGAAAAATCGCACTGCAGGTCGTGTTTATGTTAATCTTTGCCTGTAGCATGTCTCATCACGCTAGAACACATTCGACACTAAATATGAAGTCAGAGTAGACAGGTGCATCATGACATGTAAATGACTCCCCAGGCGCTGAACGCAGCATCATGTTACCGGACCAGCTGCATCTGGATTACAAGTGTGTGAACGAGTCGCATGACGTTCGCAGACAAAAATATCGTCAACAAAAATATAAGGTCCATGTTTCGGAAGATGACACGATCTCACAATCTGACCGACATTAACTGACCAGATATCAGAATTAAAATAAAATACAAATAAATACGGTAAGAGAAATTATGTTTCGCGTTTCATTTGTTCTGCACCTCGATTTAATGAGAATACCCCCGTACTTATCCCAGCAAATCTTCTTTAGAGATTACCATCAGCTGCTCCGTCACATTCTCCTTAATCTCGTGCACTTTAAGCGATAGTTTTAGATTTGTGGAAAGGGGCGAAATCTTAATATTTGTAGTATGCTGACATGCTTTTCTGCTGTTGATATTTTGAAAGGAGACATAAAGAATGGTTAATCGATATATTTAAAACACTTGCATACATTGCACGTAGATATTTCACAGATGAGGAAGGGTGAAGAATGAATCTGCCAGCATATTCTGATATGGAATAATGTAAAATCTTCCAGTAGAATTAAAAAGAAAGATATTTGCTTCCAATATGTGCAAATAAGTTAAATTATAAAAGACATGGAATTAAAATTGTATTTTATTTTTCGTGAGATTTTCAATTAGATTTCTAATATTTTATTCAAAGCAAACGCCATTTGTGTTATTTCTAGGATATTTTGGGTGAAAATCTAATTAAAAGTATTATTATAATATATTTCTTTGCAAACTTTACATGACATTAAATATTTTTGAATGCCGAATATTACTCTCCATATTTTAAAGTAGCCTAAGAATTTATAATCGAGCGTTGGTTAAGAATTCACGGGGATTTATTTGGGAGATATTTCGAAAAGCAATACGTTTCGTTTCTTTGTTGCTATCATTCAATTGACAATGATAAATCTCATATTTTCACGAATTAATTCAAACCTGCAGGAAAAAAAACGTATTTTTCAATATATTTCGGTAAATATAAATTATACATATGGGAATAAAATGTCATTTACCGAGCAACCTGTTTATATTAATTTAACCAGATAGGTAAATACACTTAGGTACCAAATACAATGATGGTTTGGTAATGGAGGCATAAATATTGTTCTTAATATTGCAATAAACGGGGTGGTCTTAATAAAAGATAAGGTCGGAAAATCATCTAATGGGTCAAAAAATGAAAAATTAATAGACTTTTTTTTTCGAAATACTTTCACCTCAAGACAATAAAACCACATGGGCACAAGGATTTACTGAGTCTTAGAGAATATGAGAAAAAACTACCATGATGAAGAGTGGGCAATAAAAAAACAAGGTTATGTAGACAGAATATAACCATTGATATTGGATTTAAATTTTTATAAAGATGAGCGTTGACTAGAGAGCAAGAAACCGGAAGTGAGTCCCACAAGCGAGAAGTTCGATAGAAGCTACTGTTAACATCGGACTTACGATTACATCTAGCCATTTCAACTGTAAAATGATGAAACCTTGCCGCCTGCACGTAAATTTATAAAGTTTAGGTACCATAGCGGAAAGTAATATTTATTTTGAATAGTACAAAAACGTGGCATAAATCTAAAAAGGGCGGGGAGGACTGGTCTTAAATCTGTCTTATCTTAGCTAGCCACAATTACTGACTCAAACATACCACAATATTCCTTACCCTCAAAACAATACATTCTCATTTAACATTCTTACTACAACCTGCATAATACCTCAAGTTTCTGTGTTGTACGGTCGCGTTCCTATATTTACGGAAAGTTCATCAGAACAATTGTTATGACTGTATTTATAGAAAAGGCAGAGGAAAGCTGCTTTACAACAGTGGAAAAGGAACTGAAGCTGAGATGTTAGATCAGAACCAATAACATTGCAGATTCTTCTTTGGATTTTATGAAGAATCTTTAAATATATAACAGGAGCACTGCACCAGATATGGCAGTAATATTCAAAGCAAAGACAAATGGTAGATTTATAAATATGTAAGATAGATATTGGAGAGAAAAATTGTTTAACACGACGTAGTTAAGCAACTTTCTTAGCTGCAGACTTGGCAATTGATTCAATATACTCTTTCCACTTCATGTGAACTGAAAAAATAGTCAGAGAAAATGCAGTGAGTCACTTTCTTAGAAGTTAGCATGAGGCTTATTAATACTAGTGTTTAATCTTAATAATCTCATAATTTCCTCACAAAAAGAAGAAAAAATGTCACTGTCTTCCTATATTTGTCAGCGAAGCACATGAAGAAATTGCAATAGATAGATAGATAGATAGATAGATAGATAGATAGGAATAGGCTGAGATAGATAGATAGATAGATAGATAGATAGATAGATAGATAGATAGATAGGAATAGGCTGAGATAGATAGATAGATAGATAGATAGATAGATAGATAGATAGATAGGAACAGACTGTAATAGATAGATAGATAGATAGATAGATAGATAGATAGATAGATAGATAGATAGATAGATAGGAATAGGCTGAGATAGATAGATAGATAGATAGATAGATAGATAGATAGAGAGATAGATAGATAGATAGATAGATAGATAGATGTGAACAGACTGTACTAGATAGATAGATAGATAGATAGATAGATAGATAGATAGATAGATAGATAGATAGATAGATAGATAGATAGATAGATAGATAGATAGATAGATAGATAGATAGATAGATAGGAATAGACTGAGATAGATAGATAGATAGATAGATAGATAGATAGATAGATAGATAGGAATAGACTGAGATAGATAGATAGATAGATAGATAGATAGATAGATAGATAGATAGATAGATAGATATTGATAGACAGACAGGTGGATATTTATTAAGAGATCGATAGAAAGATATGGCGATAGATAAATCTGAAGAGACTGATTGATATACAGATCTTGCAATAGATAGATAGATAGATAGATAGATAGATAGATAGAGAGATAGATAGATAGATAGATAGATAGATAGATTTCAAAATAGGAATAATGAATAAAATATGCAGAAACGACTATATATGCAACATATGAAAATAATGAATTAACATCCGATCTCAAAGACCAACTAAATATTTATACAGTGGCTTATATGCTCTTGCTCTGATTTGAGATAATTTTAAAAAATATATAGTCATCTTCCTTACGGCAATATTTATCAGAATTAGTAGTGTAAAAATTTAGATAAACATTTCCATCCCACTCTTCCAGCCCTCCACCAGACTAATCCAGTCGAACTAAACGTCTCGCTAAGTGCGATGGTCCCAACCTTCCATCGAGTTCATTCGATATCACAGGGTACACAAAACTGCATCGCACATAATTGTGAACTCCATAATCTTTTCAACGGTTGTAGATCATGCAGCATACGGTTTTAATGACTCTATATTAGGGTAAACATGGTTTAGAATTTATAGTTGTTTTCTTCCTTTTTTTACAGTAAGATTCACCATTGACAAGGTCTGTGAGCCACTCGATGTAAAGGGTTACGTTAGGAGGCAATTTGTATTGATAGGAGTGGAAGAAAACGATTAATCCTAGCCTTGAACCGGTGAAGATGGCAGTGATTGGAGAAACATCCTTTTGGAAATCAGTTCCACAGAAATCATTTCGTGGAAAGACTAAACTAAACTAGATGCCAAACACGTATAGAGAGAGCCTGATCAGCATTGACTTGGTTATTTATCCGGAATTGAATGGGAGGAACTCGCTTGGAATTCAAACTCTTTCTTTTCGAACCACTGAGCATTACACTAATGCCACAACAATGCAATTTGATTACTTCTGTTAGAAACCTTAGATTTTTTTCTTTATCAAATTGTTCTTTCATTGTGCTTCTTTGATAGATATAGTTTAACTGAGTAAAATGGCGTACTTAATAAAAAAAATATGACAACCTACGTTCATTCCCAGACCGTCACTGGTATCAAGATTTGGATCAGTGACAAGATTAATCAAATACTTTATCTTTGAAAATAACAACATCCTCTTAAGATTATTGCTGCTTGGTTGGTAGTCATAGTTGAGTGATTTGCGTAAGGCCACTATAACGCACTCTCTTCTCCCAGAACTATGAAAAGAGCCGAAGCTTGTGAAAAAAAAGTTTTCTTCAATCAGAAACTTCAGCGTCAACGTTTCTTTTATACGAAAAATAGAATGATTTAGATTCTCTAGATATTAAAAAACTTTTGTTGTATAGCAGAGATTAATCATAAAAGTGTTAAGATGATAAAAAGAAAATAAGGCGCGATTTTCAATAAGGGGACGACAATTAAATGTGTTAATTTCTTGTTTGTTTATTTTATAATTGTAACGGATTCAAATATAAGGTTTAATTCAAATAAGAGAAAAACGTAAGCGATCGATTCCAAAATCCCAAAGGTTTTAGGGACTTGTTGACGTTAACCCAAAATGTAAAATAAAATTATATCATGTTAGCTTGTTTCCAATAGCCTCTTGATTATCCTCTCGGCTGTCAGCGAGATTATCCGCCATTGCTTCAAATGGCATTGCCTTCACTTTCTTACGCCTTCTTCGTCAACTTAGACCGCTTCTCTCAAATCCATCAAACTACGGCCCCTTAATTGTCAGTCGTGTAGGTCGTAAATCTTGCAATATCATTTTATCTCTACATATCTGTCTGTCACATTTAGGCCATCTGTCTTTCATTCTGCCGGCTCTACTGTCTATCTGCCTGTCAACGGATTTACTGCAGCTGGTCGACTAATACTATTTGCATACACATGCGTCTATCTCCTGCGTTCAACCCTACCCCACGCATTTTTCATCTCTCTCTCTCTCTCTCTCAGTCTCTCTCTCTCTCTCTCTCTCTCTCAGTCACTCTCTCCTCATCCTCATCCTCCCCTATGTCCCTGTCAGTTTCCATATACATCCATGACTTTCCCGTCTTTTTCTTTATGGCTGACCAGTTCAGGCTTGGCGTGGAGCCAAACAGCTGACCAGTCACGTGGGACATGGCTTAAGTGTAGGGGAAAAATCAGTGGCGACATCCCCGCTCGATGGCCGACTGAAGTGTATCTTTTAGACGTGAGCAAAATGGCCGATTGCCTCTTTGAATCTCATTAAATCAGATTGCGCATGCGTTATCTTTCTAATGATCACTTTTCAAGCCAGTCATCTTACGCTTGATATTTGCAACCTTGGCATGAAGTCTCGTTTCGTGATCTCCAAGAGACGAAAAAGAAAAGCTTAGGTTAATGACGAATAAACAACCGATGAGCAAAGCGTTTCCAGTCCGTGTGACGTTCAAATTTTAAACAACGTAATTAAACATTCATAATTTCAATTAAAAAGTTTCTTTTGTTTTTTAAGAACAGATTCACATGTTTAAATTGCAAAGGATTTTTCCAGTCAAAATTTACTAATGGTGATGTGAATGGTTATCTAGAATAACATATAATTTCAAATAAAAGGTTAGGAAGGACACGTCTATCAATACTGGAAAGAGTGATAACAGCTATTACATTTGAGAAGCCCGTTTTGCTAAAAAATGTTTTAAGAGATTTTGTAAATTTCAATCGAAAGTAGTACTGGTTGCTTGGTCAATGAATACCAAATGTTTTCTTGTAGAGAAACGGCCAATATTACCATTACGTTACCATAGGCAGTAAAAGGCACTTTTTATCTCCAATCCAATATACTTGACAAAAACTGTACACTGGTTTCAAATTTATAGCATAAAATCCGCTAACTAGTCCTATTTTAGATTGAGATTGAGTACATTTTCTGAATTTATTTGAATTCGAAAATTATTGCTTATTATAATGGATGTTCGTAATGGAAATAGACGCCCACCTATATAGATAGGCTATCAATTTAAAATACAACTATATAATAACGTTTGAAGTAATACATTACATTCAAGCATAACGTGTATTCCGATAGTATATCAATATGGGAGTGTGCGTAGGGTAGCAGCTGTCAGCAAATTGTGATTGGCTTGTCGAGTTCAATTTTCGGTGGAGGCCATTGCGTTCAATTTCGTACAAATAATATTCCGAGGCATGAAACAGTCTCTTCTTTGTCACCTAAGCTAGGGTTTAATAGAAATATAGTTGTGTTTGTTAACCCAGTCCAGGAGAAGGATAGATCTGAATTCAAAATCCGGTTCGCTTGGACTAGCGAGCCTAACTCGTAAAAAACTACTTGCTACGTAAACCACATCAGTAATACCTAGGGCGTGGTTCTACACTCCCCAGCGGAGTCTGCATCATTAACAAAAATTCAGATGACTACGGTAAATATACGAATACCTTTTACGAATAGGTTGTAGAGATCTCTCATTGCTGAAAAAAAAAACAAAGAAAAAAAACAATCGTAACTGATAGTATGTGTGTTTAACTTGATTTGATACCTGAATTCCATTTTAGATATATCCTGATGGTAATGAACATCATACTCATCGCTTATGACTACATAACTCTTGGGAAAAGTTTAGATGAATATTCAATAAGTTTGTATTAAAGCACACACATAAAATGGTAGGCTCCCTGTAGCGCTCCTGTAAAGACTCCTTATGCTACTCTCTACTTTTAGAAGAGCCAGATCAGGCCGAAAATGGAGCCCTATTGTCATATTTGAGCGGGAGCTGTCCAGACAAAAAACGTTCAAAAGCGTCTCCCTGTCCTTGTGAGTGACGAATTATGTTCCACCCTTCAATTCTTATAGGTGGGTGTGGCAAGTTTCTCATTACTATATCGTTAATTCCACGGAAAGTGATCAGACGAACTACATTCCTTGTTTTCACCAGGTCTAACATTCATGGCTAGGACCCGACATGCCATTTACATTGTAGCAAATCAAACGCATTCCCTTCATATTCCGTCGGCAAGAAATAAGTTCCACTCGATCAGTTTCTTCCCACGAACCACTGCTGTGCTGAACAGACTCCCAAGTGGATGTTTCCCTCATCACTACAATCTTAAGCTGTTCAAGTCTAGAGTTAACCCCTCCTATACGTATAAACTACCTCTTAACGAAACACTCTACGTCGAATGGCTTCCAGGCATTTTACATGGTGAACCTTACTGTTACAAAACAAACAAACAACTGATCCAGTTTTTTGATATGCTATTTTCTTTGCAATGCAATTTTGCTTCAAGAAATTGGTGATCATACTTCCCATAAATGACATGTCTTTATAATGTATGAATTAACATGGATCATTAATCCCACAAGTCAAGAATGCTTATTTTAACTAAATAGCAAACTATTTTTGGTCTAGTGCAATTATAGCCTTTCTCCTTTCGTTATCAAAACATGTTATTTCATCAGATGGCACAAAATCCCGAAACGATTTCAATAACTAACGGTCAAAAACGTCATTTCATTTCATTGGTGAATTCATGCAAGGGATTTGGCAAAACATCGCATCAGTCAGATCTATTACCATCCCAATCACCTCCCATAGCTGGTTGTGTGTGTGGCGGGTGATGAACAGGGTTTAGCCATTTCCCAATGGTATCTGTGCGAAAGTGAATGTAACGACGACAGCTGAAATCTGAACTCGGAATCCGGCTTCCACACTAATAGCTGCTACGATATGCGAACATTCCACAGAGAAAAAAACTATAGCCTCTAATCGGAAGAAATCGGTGGAAACTAGGTGTGCAGACTAATTATACGTTTTCATTGACTTGTTCTCGGAACTGTTAGGCAACAATTCTTATAACATCACCTGAAATTCAGAATAGAATATCTTCTTCTTTAACTTAATTCATCTCAGATATGATGAAAAAGAATAGTTCTGCTATTTTTAACTCCTTCTGACCCATTAAAGAAAATCCAATTTCCCGTTAGCAGTTACTCATCCATATAGGGTGATTTTCTAAACGTAGCTTACATGTGGCAGGAGAACGAGATTAGGTGGCACCTAGTGAGCATCGAACTCACTAGTCTTAATTGTTCTAGCGAGAGAAGTTAGTTAACCATTACACCACGTCAAGATACCCAAAAGAATCATCCATATAAGAGAGGACATGATCGTAAAGTATTATTCCCACCTACTTTCAAGTATCTTTACGAGATGGAACTGCAAACGTGAAAAAAATGCTTCCATACATGAAATGCAATTCAATTTGCAGGCGCATATGAATCAATTTTCTTTGTTTAAGGTGTGAATATGTAGTAAGGTGTGACCATAGAGCCTGTACATTACACATCTATAATTAGCTTCCTGTATTTGAAAGGCAACACACCAAAAACAGTTTTGTACGAGATGACGGCGGTGTATTGATCATATACTGCATGCTATGGCATTATTAAGCATTGGTATCAACATTTCAAAGATGTTGAGAATTCAGTGGAAAAGATCTCAAAAGTTGGCTTTAGGCCAAATTACACCGAAATACTGGTTCTCGTTTAATCAGCAAAGTTAGAATCGAGCCTAGTCAGTATTTAGATGGGGTTACCCCTCGGAAACATCGAGTACTGTAAGTAACCTCTTATAACCCGAAATATGTTTGAGCTTTAAATAATCCACAAATAAAAAAATTCAAATCAGTCTTGGATTACCCCTTTTTACTAACGACCATCTTCTTACTCGATTTAAATAGATCTTTTGATATTTCGAGTATCCCTATGGCAATTAGGATTTTTAATTACCTTAAATTGTTATTATTAATTACTCTCTCAAACAATTGTTCTTTCTGTCACCTAGAGGCTATGTTGAGTGCACAAAGAATGATTAACTGACACATTTACGATTGATTAATACATAATACAATATTATATATCTCTTTTTTTTTTAAACATAGCGTCTTCTGTATATCTTAAGCTGATACGATTGAGTGGCTACATTAGGCCCACGGGAGCACCTCGGCGTGGTGTAATGGTTAGCAAGCTTGTCTCGCTAGATCAGTTACAACTGAAAAGTGAGTTCGATCCTCACTAGATGGCCCATACTTTCGGCCTTGTGCCACATCTAAGCTTCGCTTGGAAAATCTTTACATTAGGCCCAGGGTGAAATAACACCTGTTCCCGTTCGATCACCGAATTTAAGCAACTCCGAGCATGGTCAAGTCAGTATTTAGATGGGGTTACCGCTTGGAAACATCGGGTACTATAAGTAACCTCCTATAACCCGAAATATGTTTCGACTTTAAAAGGTTTATAGGCCGTAAAAAACATGAATTCTGGGTATAGCATATTCATCCATTAAAAGTTTATTTTCTACGGAAATCAGAACAGCAACCCCGCTGGGATGTTGAGAGCTATGCCCTCATACTACTCAGGAGAACCTACGGAACTAAATGAGGAGAAGAAGGGTGATCCTTTTCCGACCTCTTTCATTCAACTGCTAGCTGAATCCATACAACAAGAGGAATGCTTTTTAAGTGATCGCCATATAGCTATTCAAAAATTTGTGGAAAGGGTCATGATTAGCGTGGGATTTGTTAAAAGAAAACCAATCCGGAAGAACGCGTATACGGAAAATGTTATCACAGTGAGTTCTCTGCTTGCTCACACCTTTCTCGAAGGAAGCAATAGTCAACGTTTCCGCTGAGCTTCAGGAAAACAGAGAAGATTTTGCCCGACTACTTACGCAGAATGAAATGTGGGTAGCCATTTTGAACCAGTGATTAACTTTCCATCAGCGAAAAAAGCACGTCTCTAAGTGTATGCCATGCAATGCCTAGAAAATGGTGAGGGTTGCGGAAGGTAATATAAAAAAGATAGAATAATAACCAGAAGTGATTATGTTTCATTGATGCTGAAATTAGGGGAAGCCATCCGAATAACAAAGGAATTGAGATCTTGCAAGAGAATGTATAAGTAATTTGGTTGCATGCTTGATTTTGTTTAGCAGCATATCAATGTCTATTGGTGATTTAATGCCGAAAACTACATATCTGAACATAATTGTATGACTTCAACTAAATATATACTATAAATAGGTATTGTTGGTAATTTTTGTATATAACAATGTATTTGAAGACTT